TCACCAGTTTTAAATTTTTTATCTTGGGAGTGACTTATTTTTAGGTGACTCTTTATGAGGCACCAATCCAAACCAGTCTTTTCTTAACCCTGCCATGCCTCTACCTTTTCTTTCTCTTCCCATATGCCAACTTAGGTAAAAGATAAATACTTTCTCACTACTTACCTAGTTTCTGGTGTAATGAGTGTTTTGGGCTGATAGCTGAAAGGTCAGTAGTTTGAGCTCACATCTATTCTCTGTGGATAATGTAGTGCGAGTCTGCTTTTGTGAAGATTTATAGCTTTGGAAGAAAGTGCAGCCAGAGTGCTCACTGGAGACAAGGATGGTGAAGCTTTGTCTCACATACTTTGGACATGTTGTTAGGAGGTGCCATGCCTTAGAAAGGGACATCATGCTTGGAACATGCTTGGAAAGGTGGAGAATCAGCAAAAGATAGTAAGACTGTCAACAAGATGGATTGGCAAAGTGATGGCAGCAGTTGGTTCAAGTATGTCAGAGATGATGAGGATAGATAGGATAGGATAGGATAGGATAGGATAGGATAGGATAGGATAGTGTAGGATAGGGTTCAGAGCTGTTGTTCATGGGTTCCCAATGAGTCATAGTCAACTTCCTGGCACAAAAAGCATAGCCTTGGAAACTCCACTAGGAAGTTCTACTGTAGCTTACAGAATTGCTGAGAGTCTTGAAATTTACTTCAAGCAATGGGTGTCTAGTTTTTTTAACTTAGTAGGGGATATTGCCAGTCATCAAGCTTAAAGGTAAGACCTCATTTCTTAAAATGCATCCTCCTTCCTTACTGTTTTATGTACTATTAAGTTGGGGGTAGGTAGTAGACCCTCTAGTGGGTTTTGCAGAGGTATAAATTGCACTGGAGGACGTTGCCCATCTTTTTCTTGCTTAGCACCTGGTGGATTCAAATGACCTGACTTTAGGTTGGCACCACAGTTTTTTACACACTAGGTCACCAAACTGTCCTTGTAGAAACAATTAAATTTTTAATAGATACTCATTTTTAACAAATACTGTGCCTTTTAGTTTTGTTTTTGGTAAAAAATATTATGTGCCATCAAGTCACCTGCAACCCATAGCGACACTATGTACAGCAGCTCTGAATCCTGCCCTGTCCTGAGCCAGTTTTCACTGACTCCAGCACATCAACCCCATTGCCCCAATTACTGTATCAGTCCATCTCATCCAGGGTCTTCCTCTCCTATGCTGGCTGTCTACTCTTCCAAGCATGATGCCCTTCTCCAAGGACCAGTCTCTCCTGGTCACATGCCCAAAGTATGTGAAACAGAGCTTTAAAACACCAGCCTCCAAGGAGAAACTTGGTTTCCTCCTCTCCAAGACAGACCGATTTATTTTCTTGGCAGTCCATGGTATGTTCAAGACTTCTACAGCACCACAATTTGAAGGTATCGATTCTTCTGTCATCCTTAATCAATGTCCACATCTCTGGTGCATAGCAAGTAATTGGCCTAGATTAGGTACACCTTAGTGTCTAGACTCACATCATTGCTTTTCAGTAGATTTTCCCTGGTTCAATTCGTAGTTTGATAAGTAGTTTTCAGTTTGTATTTTGATAAGTAGTCTTGTGGTTTAAGCACTTGAGTGCTCACTGAAGACCTGGCAGTTTGTTCCGGCTCAGACGACTCAAACAAAAAACCAACAGTACCAACGGGGGGTGAGGTGGGGGGCAGGCCATTATTTTGCTTGCTAATTTATAAGACAGAGTATAACTACAACCTAAAATTTCTAATCTTTATAGAAGTAAATTGCTACATATTCTTCCCTGGAGCAGTTGATTAGTTCAGTTCCCCAGTCTTTCAGTTGGGAGCTGAGGAATTATCTATGGTGCTACAAAACCTCCTTCCCATAAGAAATGTTGTTGTTAGGTGCCTTCAAGTTGAGTACAACTCATAGTAACCCTTTGAAAAACACATCAGAACCTGCCCTCTCCTACGCCGTCCTCATGTTCTACCATGTGCTTGACCCCATTTTGACTGTCAGTGTGTCAGTCCATCTCGTTCAGGGTCTTTTTCTCTTATCCTCCACCTTTCCCATCATTATGTCTTTTTCCAAGAACTAGGCCCTTCTGATAAAACTCATGCCAGACCATGTGTCACCATCCTTGCCCCTACACAGCACTTTAGTTGTACTTTGTTCAAGACAGATCTATTTGTTCTTTTGGCAGTCCATGAGATACTCAGTACAACAGTCCAAAGGCATCAAGTCTCTTATTCTTTAGTCATTATCCAGCTCTCAGATGCACAGGAAGCAACTGAAAAGACCATGCCTTTAAACTGATACCTCTGCTTTAGTGTCCCTTTAAAGAGATCCTTGACAGCAGCTTTGCCCAATGCACCACATTTGATTTTTAAAAATTTTTTTTATACTGGTTTACTTAACAAAGTTCATATACATTGTTTTTCACACCAAATCTTTCCCATTTCCTTAACCTATCCCTCCCTCCACCCATCAAATTGTGCAACCCTATGATTAACAACTTCCCACTCCCCACACTTCCGATTTCTTGACGGCTACTACCATGGTCATTGACTGTGGATCAAAGTAAAATGAAATTTTTGACAACTTCAATCTTTTTCCATCTATCAGAGTGTTTATTGGGCCTCTTCATGAGGATTTTTTGTCTTCTAACTGTTGAATTGTTATCCATATTGAATGCTGTAGACTTTGATCTTCTGCAGTAAGTTCTTCAAGAACTCTGTGCAAGCAAGGTTGTGCCATCTGCTTAATGCAGGTTGCTGATGAGTCTTCATATAATCTAGCATCTCAAATGATTTTCTCAGTATACTGTTTGAGAAGGTTTGGAGAGAGGATACAACTTTGAATCATGGAATGTTCCTTTGTTCTATTCTGTTCAGACAACTGCTTCTTCATCAATGTATTGGTTTTACATAAGCACAATTGTTTTGAGATCCCCAGTGTTCTTAATGTTAGCCATAATTTGTTAAGATTTACAACTTGTTGTTGTTATGTGCCGTTGAGTTGCTTGTGACTCATAGCAACCCTATGTACAACAGCCCTAAACTCTGCTCTGTCCTGTGCCAATCTCATTGTCTCCGACACACTCATCCCGATTAGACATGCAAATTTTTAGAGTCTCTCAGAAAATCTAGGAGTAGGACTGAGCAACTGTTCAGATGATTCTGATTTACTTTAAAGCTTAAGAACTACTGCTTTAATCCTTTTTTTAAAAAAAGTCATTTCATAACCAAGCTCAGCCATTAATTACCATGCTTTCACCACTTTTAGATCTCTTAAGCTACATTTCTAATCTTGATTTATGTCCATCTCACTTTTAAAATTAAGTTTTATAGATTTTTAGTTTATATTTTAGTACTTTATACTTTAACAAATAATCATTGTGTCTTTAGTTATTTTCTTAAGTATAATTCATCATCCATCTTCTGATATTTTTATTCCATACCTATTTCCTCCCAACCATATGACTTTGGTCTTGAATTAGTATTTTCTTGCTATTACCACCTCCCCCATAAAAAACCTTAAAATTTTACAAAACCTCTGTGTAACAAAATTTTCAAGGCAATAAATAACATCACCAATGCTTGTAGACCATCTGTTAAAATGTATTTTTATCTTTTTCTAACTTCCTTCTTTTCTTCCGTCTTCCTCCTTATTCTCCTCCCTCAGCATCACTTCAAGAAGTTGGTAAATGCTTTTACTTTGGGATGGAAGAAAGATGAGGTAATCTACTTCCATAAATTAAAGTCTTTGAAACCAAATGGGCAGTTCTGCTGTGCCCTTCAGGGTCATTGTGAGTCAGAATCGACTTCATGGCAGGAGACATTTCTTTTTTTTTTTTTTTTTTTTTGAGACATGCCTTTTTAATCTTTCTAATCCTCAGCTGTGAAGGTACTGTTATAGAAAATGAAGGATCCCTTCACAATGAAGAATTTGCCCCTTCACCACTAAAGTGGCAGCTTGTATAACTTTTCAGATATCCTAGTGTATTTCGTGCCATAGGTTTTAACAGAATAAATGAGTGGATGGGCACTTCTCAAAATGGCATTATAAGCTTATACCAGGAGAAAAAAGGAACTCCAAAGATTTGAGTAATAAAGGTTGATAAATTTTGACAATATTTATTAAAAGAATAAAGGGAAGGTCTTTAACAGAGTGAACAAATAGTCATTCCACAAATGGTTAGCTGTTTACTTTTTTTATTATTAATTTTAATGAAAGTTTACAGAGACTTTGTATTTCCATTCATTCATTCATTCATTGTTGCACTTTTCTCCTTGTCCACCCCTCCCACTCAGTTCACGCTTCTCTTTGAAAAGTAAAAGAAAAATTCTTTGTTACACAATCCCTCCCCTCAAGTCTACTCCACTAGCAGCCTTTTTTCTGAACTCCTGTCACGACAATAATATCTAATCATATATCCCTTTTAAACAGTTCTCTCCCTCATCTGTTTTAGTGCAGTATACATAATTTATTCCATCTTTCTCAGTCTCCCCCCAACACCTGATGTCAGTCCTGTTTTAAAACAGTGGCACTATGCAGTAGTGTCCTTTTGTAACAGATATTTCACTCAGCATAATGCCCTCCAGGGTCACCCATTTTTTTTTTACCACAGCTTAGTTGTTTACTTTTTAAGAGAGTTGAGATTGTTTTTTCAGTAACAAAATTCAAACTTATTTTGAAAACTTATGTATGTTTATAGATGTATCTCCTATGGGAATTCAGTTTGATGTACATTTTTAATAATTTCTCATTGATTTACTTAAATTCTAATTAACTCATTCGTTGAGTTTAAATTTTAACTTTTATACTTCTTTTTTTATTAAGTTACAGTTAAAATGTATATCTGACTTGAGGAGTTTTTACACTTGAAAATCATCATAATATATGTTCTTAAGTAGTGTGAGCTATTTTGTCATAAGCACTTATATTTTATTTGTAATAATAGTTTAAAAAAAACCCAAATTTTTCTTTTTTTAACCTGAATACAGGAAGCCTCGACCTGTCTCCCAGTTGGTTGCCCAGCAGGTTCCTCAGCAGTTTGTGCCCCCTACGCAGTCAAAGAAAGAGAAAAAAGATAAAGTAGAGAAAGAAAAAAGTGAAAAGGAAACAACCAGCAAAAAGAACAGTCATAAGAAAACCAGGTAATATGAAGAGTGTTCTACATCTTTTATTAAATGACAAAATTAACCACTTCCTATATATAGGTGAAATATTTATCCTTTATTATAAATAACATGCAATATTTTCTGAGGTTAAAACATATAAAAGGCCACAAGTACAAGTTTAAACATGAGAATGTGTAGTTTTTTTAGTTAAAAGACATTCACGCCTCAGAAATTAGACCTTTAGTCACCCTTCAGAACTGGGGCTGAACTCACCCCTGACTCATTTACCTGGCAGACAGTAGCCAGGTCTTTTCTGGTGAACATCACTAGGGAAGTACATACTACTTGGACAGTCACTTCAGAGCAAAAGGGCAGCATTTGCCCAGGAATAAAGTTCTGAAGCCAGAAAGGGTTAGGAAGGAAGAATAAAGAAGGGAAACACAAGGAAAGTGGAATGAGTGATGCTGTATTGTGGGGTTTGCCGTCAGTGTGACAACACAAAACTGTTGAGTGAAAAACCAGTTTGCTGTGTATAGCCATCACCCAATTCACAATGGAAAGTTAACAGTAAATATTCGTGCTAGAGCTATGTGTATATCTATATGGACTTGAACCAATTAAAAATGAACATGAGTTTAGTACTACATGATATCTAGCTCATATCAGAGGAAGAACAGCCCTGTGTAGAGCTCACCTTTAGCTTTTACAACTTCCTCTGTGGTACACCTCTTCCATTGGTGCTCTGAACATTTATTTTAATTACATTTATAGAGTATACAATTGTAAGGTCATTTTGGATAGAGTGTTTATTTGTTGCTGGTTTGGGTATTTTTTTTTAAGTGCAAGAGCCATTACTTTCATGGCTTCATGGGTTTTTTTTATCATTGACATTTTCTGATTGGTTTGATCAGTTTTAGTGATTTGAAACACTTTGAATTTTATGACTAATTACAAAGGAATCTAGAGTTTCAAAGATGTTATTCATTCATGTTTTTATACACTTTTGTTAAATTTATCTTACTATTCATTATGTGTACAGAAATTTGGTCGCGGGAACAGCTCAGCTTGACATTGTGTCCTGTTTTGTGTTTAGACCAAGATTGAAAAATGTGGACCGGAGTAGTGCTCAGCATTTGGAAGTTACCGTTGGAGATCTGACAGTCATTATTACAGACTTTAAGGAGAAAACAAAGTCACCACCTGCATCTAGTGCTGCTTCTGCAGATCAACATAGTCAGAGTGGTTCCAGCTCTGATAACACAGAGAGAGGAATGTCCAGGTCATCTTCACCTAGAGGAGAAGCCTCATCATTGAATGGAGAATCTCATTAAAGTTTATTTTCTCCAGTTTCTTAGTCACTTCTATCATACCATGCAAATATACAGATTATGCCAAGAAATACCACATTTTCATGACAGCCGTTTATGCATAATTCCTAATTTGAATTTTACATAAAGTAGAAATTCATTAGGATTTGTTAAATTTTACTGCAGTCTATGCCTACCAAACATTTCTTGACTTAACATTTTGGTTCCTACAGTTGAAGGAGCCATGAAAATGTGGTTAAATTATTCATTATGCAGTGTTACTGGTAAGTCTATTTTCACTTTTAGTTTAGTGAATTCTAACACATAATTCTTGAAATCTATTGGCATGTAATGAATTAAATTTTTTATAACATAGTTCAAGCTGCCTAAATATGTATTATTTGAGAATTGTGAAACAAATAGTTATATGTATACAAGTCAAAGATCAACTTAATCAACTATTGCTGCAATAGAATTTTTTTTGTTAATGGTTATCCTCTGAAATCCACCTGCTGGTACTTGGTGTGGTTAAATAGGAAAGTTGTTTAAAATAAAGAATTTGTATGAACCTTTGCCAATGTTTTTGACACATTTTACTAAATTATTATTTCTGAATTTTTTTTCTGGTTTTGATAGCTTTTTGGTTTTTTGTTATTTTTCAAAACATTCACTTATTGTAATGTTTACTAGCAGACTAGTAAGCAATAAAACATTTGATTATTTAGCTTTATGATTCAGGTTTAGCATTATTGTCATTGAACACTGGTATTTTTTTGTATTATATAAAACAATAAAATAATTATAATCATTTGGCAAAAGAGAAGAAACCTGCCATATTTTGAAAGCTGCAATTTTGGAAAAGCTTTAATTTAATGATAGTTTTATCACTGTTTACGTGCCCCCAAAATATCCAGGGTTATAGAGGTGTGAATCTAATTAATACAGAAATGGAAACTGTTGCACAGAACTGGAGATAATTAATTTTAAATACATATAATTGGCTTCCTGTTGACAATTCTTATGGAAAACATAGTGCCCTATTTTCAAGACACAGTTGTCAATTTATGGATTTATCAATATACTGAAATAATAGTATTTACAGCCCCAAACACTATTATGTAAAATACCAATAAAATATTTTTATGACTACAGATTTTGCATTTTTGTTCACAACTAAAAAGTGTTCTATGTTGTATTAAAAGAAAATCCAACCTAGAAACCACATAGTACTTGTTAAATATTCATAGGGTCTCCTGCTTTCTCTTAACCATTTGCTTAATATATGTCCATCTGTAGGAGACTTCTGAAATGTAAATTAATTACAAATATAACATGGATACAAAATATCACATCAAAGACACCTGACAGCATTTAAAGAAAAAATAAAATGTAGACCCATAAAAGTTGTGATATTTGGTGGTTTCTCGTGGTAATGTAATTTTCTGTTTAATTGCAGTACTTTATACAGGCACAGTGGGACTGTCTCTTTTTTTTTGTAAGATGCTAGTTGTGAAATAGTTAATTGCATACAGTAAAAATCTGTGATTAAAGCATTTATATACCTCATTCTTTAGTGTTGTTAAATGAAAACTTAAAACTTAAAATTTGTGTTTTACTATGATATTTAAAAAGGCACATTGATCAATTGGTTAAGTTATAGTCTCTTAAAATGTGAATTTTTTTTGCTCTCATTTTAAGTGTTTCTTATATATTCAGATTTGAAAGTCATAGAGCTTATAAATAATTGTAATATAGAAGGTATTCTAATTTTTAAGTCAATAATGTTTTGAAGGCCTTCTGACAATGAGTATGTTGAAGATATATATCTAAATGGATTATAAGAGAAAAAATATAGGAGAAAAATGGGATTTTTATATGAATGGGGCATACTCATCTTTATATAGTCAGGGAAACAGTAAAGCATACAAATTAAGTGTAATAATTGGTGTCTAGCATTTGTATCTTTGTTAGAACTTAAATTGAGTAAATTCTTTACTCAAGTTCATTTCCCATCTTTAAAATGGGGATAATAATAATAATAATATTCATATCTTAACTCTTAGGGTTGTAGGGATGATTAAATGTGTCAGTCCATGTAAAATTCTTAACAACTCCCACCTACTGGATGCTTAATAAATGTGAATGTTTGCTGTAATTATAGGTAAAATTCCATTCAGTGGCTTCACTAGAGTTGGTATCACCCAGTGCAGTAACACTGCACTGTTGGTGTTTATTTCACCTTCCATCAACTTCTTCCCATACCATACAGAAGGCTTTATAGTTACCAATTTTAATCATAATAGTAGGGTAAATAGAAACTATTTAAACATAATACTTCCTAAAATACATTGTACGCTTACCTCGATGATTCAGTGACTGGGTTAATGGGGATAAGTGTATCAAAGACAGTGAGATTGGCACAGGATAAAGCAGAGTATAAGGCTGTTGTACATAGGGTCACTGTGACTCACAGGTGACTTGACAGCACATAACAGCAACAAGGTCTAATTTACTTTATTATTTAAAACTAGTAACTGAGCAGAAACTTTTCCCTCCTCTTTATTATGACTTCATTCTCAGAAGAGTTACAGGTTCACAAATAGGGATTGTCATAATACTGTAGCCAAAGCACCAGAATATTTGACAAAGTGAGCAACATGAGAACAGAGTGTAATAAAAACAACAGTACATATTTGTAAACCAGCACAGACAAAACCCACATGATTCAGTGTCACTGTAATTAGGTAGTAATGAAATACCTGACTGGAGTACATTAACTCTCTGCCTTGGAACCTTCTCAAAGCTGACTTCCAGCAGACTGTCTGAGCCTGTAAATTGCATGGGAGGAGACTGCCTATCTTTCTCTTGCAGAGCAGCTGGTGTGTACTTCCTACTGACGAGGCCACCAGACTTCACTCATAACCCCTTAGAAGGTTCAAAAAGTAAATTACCTTTGTATGGTATACATATGATGCCCTTGAGCTGTGGTGTTGGAGTGCTGAACAACCATGGGCGTCCAGAAGAACAAACAAGTATGTCTTGAGGCTGCAGCTTTGCCTCAGATACTTTGAGCATGTTGCTAGGACGGGCTTTTCCTTGGAGAAGGACTTGATGCTGGGAAGGGGGGAGGGCTGGTGAAGGAGAGGAAGACCCTTGACCAGGTGGATTGATGTGATGACTGCCCCAGTGGTCTCCAGTGTGTCAGAAAGTCTGAGGATGGCAGAGGATAGAATAAGAACTGGGATCTGATCTGTTGTTCACAGGGTCACTGTGAATTGTACTCGGCAGCACCTTATAACAACAAACAAGCTGGGATTTTAACTAACTAAGGATTACTTTATTTAAAAATAATAAATTTCTGCTGAACAGTGCACACAGATTTTGTAGTTTTGGTGTCATCCTGACAGTAAAGCTAGTGCAGGCTCTACTGCTTTAGGTACACCACTATAGAAATTTTTTTAAAACAAAACTATTTCCATGCCTTCTTAGGTGATACTGTTTCATTAATTAGGTTACACTGAATGTTAGATACCAGTTACTCTCTCAGAATATAGATAGCCATCCTTCTGTAAATAAAAGGACCTGATGGTAAGTAACATAAGAAAGAAGAAATGAACTGAGCTAACAGGAAATGTTGTTTCCCCTTTAACAGATAAAATTATCCTACTTACCTTCATTTCTCTCTACCTCAAAATTCTGCTGTGCCCCAAACCAGAATCCCAGCTGTTGAGTGGGTGGATTCCACCAACACAGTAACCTCCCAGGTTTCCAAGATGGCAAAATCTTCACAAGAAGAGACTATGCATCTGTCTCCATGGAGCAACTGATGGATTCAAACCGCTGACCTTTTGATTAACAACAAGACAAATTACATACTGTGCCAGCAGTGTTTGTTTCCACTAAGACCTAAATCCCATAAACATTTAATCCTAAGGTTGAAATCATGCAAAAGAGATTCTGAACCTGGGTTTGGTATGTTTGTCGTTTTCATTAATTTACCTTGAGATCTTAACAAAAAAGAAATCTGGTGTTTTTCAAGGTTTATTAGCTTACGCGAGAGTGAAGAGAAGATTTGAAGCATATAAAAATATACATGTTTTAAAAAGCTTTTCTGTTGCACAGTATGTTGTTATGTGCCATCAAGTCACCTGCGACCCATCGCAACCTTATACAGCAGGTCTGAACTCTGCCCTGTCCTGAGCCAGTCTCACTAATTCTGATACACCAACTTCCACTGCCCCATTTACTGTATCAGTCCAGGGTCTTCCTCTCCTGTGCTGTCCCTCCACAATTCCAAGGACTGTTCTTTCCTGGCAACATGCCCAAAATATGTGAGACAGAGTTTCAAAATCCTACCCTCCAAGGAGAACTTGGTATCACCCTCTTGAAGACAGACTTAATTTGTTTTCTTTGTTGTCCATGGTATGTTCAAGACACTTCTCCAGAACCACAATTTTGAAGACATCAGTTCTTCTGTCATACTTAGTCATTGTCCACCTCTCTTGATGCATAGCAAGTAACTTTGAAGACCACGGGCTGGATTAGGCACACCTTAGTCTCTGGACTGACACTGTTGCTTTTTAGTATTCTGGAGAGGTCCCTGACAGCAGATTTACCCAATGCAATTCATCTTTTGATGTTAAGAATGTTGATTATGGAGCTGAGCAAGTGGAAATTGTTAACCTCAGTCTCTTCTCCATCTGTTATGGTGCTGCCAATTGACCCAGAGGTGAGAATCTTTGTCTTGATGGCGCGCCTCAATCCATATTGGAGACTAGAGTCCTAGACCTTCCTCTTCAGTTTCAGCAAGCAAAATTATGCCATCTGCATATCATAGGTTGTTGATGGATCTTCCTCAAATTCTGATGCCACATTCCTTCTCAAAAGGCCCTGCTTCCTGAATGATCTTTATATAGAATGAAAAGGTATGGAGACAGGATGTATCCCTGATGTACTCCCTTCCTGATTTTGAGCCATACAGTGTTTCCCTCCTCTTTGTTGGATGTTTCATAACATTACAGTGATCATAATGTATAATGAAAACATTTTAAAAAATCTTTGCCTTTCTAAGTTGTAGAATATTTAGTAGCTTATATATTTAGTGGCCTACTGGTAAGGAGTTATATTTGCAACCCAAATGCATGTGGTTCAAATCCGCCAGCTGCTTCAGGGAGGAAGATGGCCAGTCTCCCTTGTGCGATTGACTGCCTGAAAGAAAACTTGCCTGACAGTCAGCTATAGTTTGGTCCCAATTTTGATAGTATACAACATCATCATAAAAAAGCCTTTGTGGCATAATGTGATACATAATGCAATACTAACCAGAAGGCCAGTGATTTGAATCTACCAGTTGTTTAATGGGAGAGAATGGGCAGTCTCCTATTAAGAATTACAGTTTCAGAAACCAGTGGAAGTTCACAGTGAATTGGAATCCACTCAGTGGCAGTGGGTTTGGAAAGCTACTGTCTGAAAGTGTAGTTTCTACATAATTACGTATATGAATAGTAAATGGTCAAGTTTTAGTTCCTACCAAAGATTTTACTTAGGGTGTAACTTCCTTCTTTTCTGAAATTTTTAAAATATTTGTAGGACCTGGGATATTTAGTAAGCCATTGATAAAGATTCTCTACTTTGGGAGTGAAGTTAAAATGATACTCTGTAAGAAGAGAACCCTCAGTTGTTACTGCCACTCAAGTCCCTCCAACTGTCCGTTGTCTAGGACAAATATTGTAGAAAAGCTGAAGTACAATAAGACAGTGACACAGTACAATCAAAAGACAAGGACAGTTGCAAAATACAGGATGTGAGCATTCATTTTGTGTAAGCAGAACAAAAAATGTGTTCATGGGCTGCAGAGGGTACTAAAAAAAGGTCTCTAAGAGCAAAGGCGAGAGAAGAGGAAAGAAGAAAGTAGAAAACTAGCGAAAATGAGAACTGGCCTGATCCATGCCATGATGTTCTCAATTGCTTGCTACACATGGGAGAGCCGGACAATAATAAGGATGAGGGAAGCAGCATTGTTGCCTTTGAGTTGTGATGCTGGAGAAGTGTATTGAACATAACCATTGACTGCCAAGAGAACAAACAGGTTTATCTCCTGGAGAGAGGGAAACTAGATTGCTATTTGGAGGCAAGAATTTTGAAATTTCATCTCCTATGATTTGGGAATGTTGTCAGGAGGGGCCAGTCTTTGGAGAAAGACATCATGCTTGGAAGTGTGGAGAGTCAACACAGGAGAGGAAGACCCTGGATGAGATAGATTGACACAGTGATTGTTGGTGGGGTCAGTTATGTCAGAGATAGAGAGGATGGCTCAGGATAGGGTGGAGTTTAGAGCCATTGTTATAAGGTTTCTATGAATTGTTGTTGACCCTACAGTGCACAACCACCACTATGGGTGTGGATCGTGAATATAAGTAAAATGTAATCCTTAAACACTTCATTATTTATCATGAAACTGCCCATTGGTTATTGTAGAGAATTCTCCAATGGGAGGGGGGAAAAAAGCCTTTTTGACGTCCATTTTGGTCTCTCTCTCTCTCTCTCTCTCTCTTTCTCTCTCTTTC